AGAATTCCCCAGCCAGCATGGGTGGCTGGGGAATTCTGGAAGTTGAAGTCCACACAGCTTAAAGCGGCCAAGGTTGAGAAACACTGATCTAGATGATGCCAAGTTAGAGAAGTCTATTATAGGATATTTCCATGAATCAAACTTTACAAAGGAATAGAAAAATTGACATTTCTAAATAACACATATTCTTAGGAGTAAGATATGGGAAAGGCAGGATGGCAATGTGTCATATTTTTCAGTAAACAGTACTACACTTAAAGATGTCTTCTTTTTCAAGGGATGATTAGCATGTGAAGTTAAAGGACTAGAAGAATGGAGCAGAAGGTACTAATGTACCTGGCTTCTTCAGTATGGTAAGATATATTGTATTTCTATTATAGTAATTGCATTCTTCTTATTCTACAGCATAGGTTCAGAGAGTCCTCAGAGTAAGGAATTGTCAGCTATTCTGTATTATGGCCACTTCAGCCATAATGCCATGCTCAGGAGATCCCCTTAAAATAAACCATTTTGGTAGAACAAATATGCAGCTGCATGTTTCTGCAGGAAAACAGATAATACAGCTCTTGACAGTAGAGCATTAGCACTGTAGAGAGTAGAGCATTTACACTGATGCCTTTCTTTGTGGGCTTCTCAGAGTAAGGATCAGAGCTGGCAAAAAAACTCTGGAGTGATTGTCTATCCTAATGCTCTGTCTTTAGGTGCCAGAGTGACAAGCAAGTCCTGAAATCTGCACATTTGCCCTGATTCTCTATTTTGGCATTGCTCAATGAGGTTCTGGCCCACCACCCATTCCAAAGAACCATCACTTTCCTGGCCACTTTCTAATTAAGTGGTTGTTTGATTACTCAGAAGAGCGGAGGGTAGGGGCCTGGATCCAATTCGCTCTTAAAATGGCTACTTAAATTGCATTTGAAGAGAATGTTCTTCTGAATTTCTTTGTGTCATTTCTCTGTATATTGGTACAATGTATAAGAAGTTATGCTTGGCAAGTTCATACAAGTGAGAATCACATTTTGTACATATTATTTTACCCAGCCCAAGCAAGTGTTGTTTCATCTTATGTACCATTTTTTAAATGTTTTTTTTTAATCCCGCCTTTGTATATATAACTCAAGGCAGTGAACATACCTAATACTCTTATTTTCCCCACAACAACAACCCTGTGAGGTGGATTGGGCTGAGAGAGAGTCACCCGAAGTGACCCAGCCAGCTTTCATGTCTAAGGGAGGCCTAGAACTCACAGTCTCCTGGTTTCTAGCCCAGCACCTTAACCACAATGCAAACAGAGAATCCAGGAAAATGTCAGAGAGTTGTCATCACCAAAATGGCTAAACACTTAAAGTTCTCATTGCCAATATAATTTCCAACTCCTTCCACACTTACATACATGACTCCAGTAATGTACCTGAGGTGATGAAACAGAATAGTAACGGAGGCTTATAGAAATACTGCCCTAACCCTTTGGTAATGTCACTGATTCATCCAATGCTACCACTTTAAAACAGTAACAAAGAACACTTTCCTTAAGGTTTCCAGGCTTTGCCTTAGAATAAGTCCCATTTTTTAAGGCTAGATGCTTGCAAAGTGACCATTTATAGCAGGTCAAAAGAAATATGAATTTTTAATGGCAATATGCATATTTTAGGTAGTCTTGACTCCTCCAGTGTGTATTATTTTTAATTCAAAGGATTTTTTATTACTAGTTTTCAGTTTCTGCATCTGTGTGCCTGTTTTCTCTTTGTTTATAAGTATGTATGTTTGTGTATACATATACAAACACATATATCCATACAGTACACACTTACACATATCCATATGTACCATAATGACTTTGGACATAATTTATTTTCTAATAAACTATATTTCTGTGTGACTGATTTTTTTTAAAAAAACTTTTCAATGGGTTGCTTTTCAAATTAATGTTTTGAAATATGTAGTACTTGATTTCTGCAACAGAATATACCATGCAAATTAGTATATTGTAACTGAGCCAACTCAGGGAGGCAGTGAAGGACAGGAAGGCCTGGCGCAATATGGTTCATGG